ATACTCCTCCTTTACCGGCTAACAGAGTGCGTGACGCTGTAGCTTTTGAAGTGACCGGTATTGACTTTGCGGGACCGCTGTTCCTTAAGACCGGTGAAAAAGTTTGGATTTGTATGTTCACGTGTGCGATCTTCAGGGCGGTTCATCTGGAACTCTGTTGTTCGTTATCAACTTCTAATTTTCTTCAGGCCTTACGTCGGTTCGTGTCTCGTCGTGGTAGGCCGAAAACGATTTATAGTGATAACGGTACGGGTTTTGTGGGTGCTGAAAATGCCTTATCATGTCTGGACTGGGACGGTATTACTCGTGAGATGTCTGTGCAACGTATTCATTGGCATTTTAATCCACCTACCGCAGCTTGGTGGGGAGGATTCTGGGAGCGCCTCATTGGTGTTATGAAACAGTTGTTGAGAAAAACACTAGGTCGTGCTAGTTTGGACTATGAGACTTTGCTAACGTTGTTATGTGAGTGTGAGGCAATAATTAATTCGCGACCATTAACGTATCTATCGGAGGATCCTCAAGAGTTAGTTGCCTTGACACCAGCGATGTTTTTGCGGGATCAGGTGGACTGGGGGCTACCAGATTGTGATGCTATAGACAATGCTTCATTGTGTCGGAAAGTGCGTCGGGTTCAGACTTTGCGAGAGGAACTTCGTAAGCGATTCCGTTTGGAATATCTTGGACAGTTAAAACTAGTTTACGCGAATAAAACTCAGCGCCAGATCGCACTTAATGAAATTGTGCTTGTCGGCAACGATGGCAGTAAACGTTTAGATTGGTCTATGGGGCGAGTTGTTGAACTTTTTCCTGGTAAAGATAGAAGTGTTCGACTGTGCAAAGTTAAGACAGCTAAGGGATATTTATTGAGACCTGTCCAGCGTCTTTACCCACTAGAGTGTTGTACTGTTCCTGAGTTCGAGCTTCGGAATGATGTGAAGACGTCAATGAAGGTTAACGGTGAATTAAATGGTACCCCACATGTTCCTGAGTTGGCTGCGAGAGACTTCAGTTCCGAAGACGAATATTGTGAGGGTGAGGGAGTGTTTAAAGTCAGTATTCCGACAAATAGTGCAAAGGTTTCTGAAGTGAAAATCACACGTACGGGACGGGCTTCTAAATTGCCTAAACGTTATTTAGAGTAGTGATTGTCAAAAACTGTACCTATTAGCCATTTTTAATTTTTTGTATAATGGTTTTGTAGCATTTGTCTTTTAGATTTTGTGAGCAATATTTTATTTTATCAGAATATTCCTCAGGTGGGAGTATGTCAGATATTACCTTTACCTGAAACAATTTGGTGGATGAAAGGCTTAGTGGTATTGGGCCACGAAAAAGAAGAAAAATAATAGACTATGAAGTATGCTATGAATGAAAGTTGTTATTGCAAGTATGTCAATAAATATAATTTTAAATAACTGTAACTAATTCTATATGTATACAAATAAAAACCAAATCCAACATACGCAAACCTCTTAAAACGGGTAGTTTTTTGATGGTGCGACAGTTAGGTTTATTAAATACATGATTATATTCTTTGTTTCCATAATAATTTAACTCTAATTAATACAAGTTTTTTTAGATCAGATATTTGCTTATTTTTCTTTCACCACATTTTCAAATTATTCATTTCGATTGTAAGTAATATTATCTCTTTAAGGTACCTATTTTATTATTTTATCTTTATGCATGTATAATATGTGTTGTAATAATTGGTGATTACCGCGAGATATAAATGGATGGTGTTCTGCAATAATAGTCTAAGCTACATATACATGGTTCAGAGTAAATGAGCATATGGTGTCTACCTAGTTTAAGAAATTCACTGATAGAAAATAAGGCTTTATTTTCACATTTTTTTATTTCAATAATTACAGGCTATCTAAAAAACGTACAAAAGCAAAATAAGTAAAATCAGTTTATTGCAAAAATAACTTAAAGCAGCGTAGACGGTTTTTGCAAAATTGTAAAAATATAAATGGTCATTTTGCAATAACCGTCTATCCCTCCGAAATGGTAAATACACAAAAAAATCTTTGAATTCGAGTTCATTAGTAAAAGTAAGTAACTGTTACTGATTAAATTTCTACTCGATTTAATCTTGATCAATTTCGAAATCAGGATTTAACCAAATTCCTTCGAAATCAAACCTATCATATTCCTACAATATTTTGCTGACCAGAATTTTGCCTATGAAGCAACAGTTAAAATATTTTAAATAATGAACAACTGGTTTCGTTATTTGAAAATGTAATTTTTTGTCAGCATTTATGGCACCAACATTCGAGTAATCGCAAAACATATTATGTTACCTTTTCAGTACACTATCTGCGGTAAAAGGAGTTTAAAGATTTCTTTAATCAATTGCCGAGCTGACAACACAGAAAATTCACAGTTTTAAATAATATACTTTCGTATTTTACCATTAAGGATAAAGACTCTAGTTTAGTGCAATTTTATTTATTTAACTAAAATTGTAGTATTCGTGTATTAATAAATTTCTCGTCTTTTAATATGTAAAAATAAAGATTTGTTCCATTTTATACTTTGCATCTGGTGCACACAATGAAAAGACCCTCAGAGATTTGCAATAAGCGTCTAACCCACATATTTATAATGAAAACATGGGTTAGACTATTTTTACAAATTTCTGTTTTCATATTATTTGACGAATGTGGTTTAGAACTTAGTTCACAAACGCATCCATGCGTATGGATATGGCTCAAGGTTATTAAAAATAGACAGGTTGTCTGGTAACTTTACACCAATCAGCGTCGAGAATCTAACGGCGGGAATGACGTCACTGAGAATGCTACATTCAAATTCATTCGCTTTACTCCTCGAAAAGCAACAATGATTGTAAATATATTAATCTATGTATATCGAAAACAAATACATTTGGACTTTTAATAACTATTTATTTCATTCAATTTTTAAAAAATGTGGGAGATAAGTACCTGCAGAGTTACAGAAATCATAAAATATTATTGCAGCTAAACATATGTAGTAGAATAGAATTACTATATTAAATTGGAAGTAGATTCTTTCTTGTGTATACATGTGACTAAAACATGTTAATATGCTATATTAATAGTGGGTTGAATACAATTTACTTTCTTAAAATTATTTTGAATTGAGGATAATGCATGTAGTGGATTATTATAAATTACTCCAAACTAGTAAACCATGCAGAAAAAGAGATTCAACTAAATATTTATATATCAGAATTAGTAGTTTTTCCCTTAACTTCAATATATTTGAGGAACATCTGATTACATTACTGAATTATATAATAGAATACAAAAAATATTAAAACATAATTCCATTAAATAGATACCTATTAAGTTGTACATAATTAACAGTAAATGATAAAAATCAAAATCAGTTAATTAACACATTTTTACTGAACATTTAAATGACTATACCTACTTTCCATCTTTTTTCAGCTTTTTAGGTTGTATGTTTAAAATAGTTTAGCTTTTAAAATCATCCTCATAATCTTCCATGCGAAAGTGTATATTACAAACTCTTTTATTAAAACAGGACCACTTATCCTTCCTCTGACACTTGCTCATCCATTGCTTTTGAATTTTTACATTTTTTTGGAAATGTAAAAAACGTTAAATTCCTTCCATCCTTTTTGGAATTTTTTGAATTATATTTGCAAATTGCTACACTACAAATATTTCCACCAGTCATCTGAGTCAATAAAAAAATTGAATGAAGTTATGTTTTTCCTGCGTTAATCCCAGTGTTACCTTTACTATATAATACAGCAGAAATAAAATCCAGTAAGACACAACCACGTTAAATGTATCTTAACACTTTTATAAGAGTATTGGGTCCAAGTTGTATACTAAAAATCACTCAATAATATCTATAGATATATTATATCTCAAGATATTAACATAAACTAAAGCACTAACGATATTTAACAACAAAATATATTTTAAAAACCACTTCTATTTTGTTTTCAAACAATTATTCGTAAAATTGACCCCCTGGGTGACGTCACACGTCGTCTTTCATTCTGTCAATGTCATGAGTTACCATGCAACCTCCCTTTTACTAACCTTGGATATGGCTTATATATTTTGCTTGATGTAGCATGCATTATGATCTCTGATTATGATCGACAGTTTGACACGTCTAACCTCATTTTTAAACAAATGTGGGTTAGACCAATGACGTATAATATATAGACTACGCAGTCCCCTATTCTCGCTATAGAATCGAGTGTCCGAAAGATCTCGGCTCAAGGTTGAAGGTATGTTTATCACAACAGCGGCGTGCTCATTTATATGTTAATGACAATAATTATTTTTAATTAAAATTAACTATTTATGATTTCTTTCTGTTCCCGTTTATAAGAGAAATAATTATTTTGATAAAATAGTATGGCATTTTACTAAAATAGTAAGTAAATAACTCTCAACAATTTAAAATAAAATTTGCTTGTCACACAAAATGGAGAAAATGTTTTCATACGGCTATGATGTTTTCAAACACAAGATCAACTTCGTGATGCTTCGTAAGAAATCATGAACTTCGTGCATCTTCGTATCAAAACAATAAACAATAACAAAGGTATTCATGTTTTGGACACTTTTTAAAGCGTTCACCGAGTCTATATATTATACGTCATTGGGTTAGACGGTTGTTGCAAAACACAGTCCAAATACACCTCTCTAGATGTACAACCCACTTCATGCGTTAAACTCGGTAATGGCGCTGAGCTTGAGTTGAGCTACGAATGTACAACCGGGCCTATATATTTGTTTTGCTACGCTACAGTAATTTTCCATGAAGAGTGCGCATTCTGATTGTTTATTATTCTGTGGCTGTACTATGAGGGTGGATATGTCATGTCAAATGTCAAGCTATACAGCTTTCACATTTTGTTTGTGACGTTTATGTTTCCTTCCTGCATTTCCTGCTAGAGAATTTAAATATCGATTCATCTTTTGTTTGTTAAATTAGTATTGAAACAAAAAACTAAAGGGAACTAAAGTTCAATCTCATGGAAGTAAAACAAGAAGTTAATGATGGAACATCTCATGTTCTTTTGGAGGTTTGTAAAATTGAAATTAAGGAGGAACCCAAGACAGAAAGTACATACAATGCATTTGATTTAGATTTACAAGAATTCCCCAAAAAGACTGAAATAGTGCAAGAGGAACATAAATTTACGTCATTTGAAGAAAAACAAGTAAATCGTGAAGGTAAGTCACTAATAGTGCCTAAGAGTTAGATATATTGAAACTTAAAACATTTATCAATAGATTCTGCTTCATCTAGTGATTAACGAATGATTATATAGTGTATGGGACATCCTACAAAATAGTCCAAAAAGAACATAGCTTCTATGAACCTCCATGGAGCTTAACCCTTAACCAGAAAGGTTACATTTAGGTACAAGATCCCAAGGCAGGATCACAACTCTCATAACATAGTTAATCAAACTTAAATTTTTACGTACATTTAAAATAAGGAGAATACATTGATAAAAGTTTGCTAGTCAAAAATTGGCTGCAAATATTTTTAATTCAATTAATAGTAATTAATTTTTTGACCAAAACAAAATTTTATTTCATTTATTTATTTTTTAATAAAATATGCTGCTCATAACTAATATGTATACTTTTATATCAATTTTTTTCAAATTTCAAAAGCTATTTTTTTCTCAATATGATGATAAAATGTTGCCTGAGAAATATGGTTGCAAATTAGGGTTGCCAGCTGTTTAAAACTCGAGGTATCAAAGATAAAGTAAAATAAAGTTAGCTATCCTGTTTTGATAAGTGATAATATGTATATTATTGTATATCTATCAACGCATGCTTTAAAAAACTCACATAACTGACACTTTAATCCAGTTATACCTCGTTTTTTAAAACCGTTGGAAACCCTAATTTGGTACCACTTTTTCTCAGGCAACCTGATATCATCACATTAAAAAAAATTGCGTTAATTTGATAAAAAAACATGCATATACATCATGAGCAGCATATTTTATTTAAAAACAAAGTAAAATTTTTGCTCAAAAATTAATTATTATTAATGGAATTAAAAATATTTGGGGCTACTTTTTTTACTGTCAACCTATTATCAATGTATTGGCACACAACATAAGAAATGTACCTATACCTGAAATGTATGAAAGCTATTGAAGACAGTTCACCTGTGATACACCTTAGGGTTGTTAATTATGCTTTTTGATGTGTTAGAACAAGTGATTCGAAAGAAACCTACACTGAAAAAAAATCTGTTGAGATGTTGATATTGATGCTATAAAAAGATGTTGATATTATATAAGGTGGTACATTTTTCATACAAAGGAAACAATTGTTTTCACAATTTGTCTTTCTGTACACAAAGCTAAAGAACCATAGAGATTGTTTATATTGAACATACACTGTTTAATGAGGTATAATTGAAAATTTATATTTTATTTTAGGGTTTCCACAACAGAATTCATTTGAAATTATTAAAACAATACCTGCACATACATGTAATAAAGAACAAAATATGGGTAGATCTGATGAAAATACATTAAACTATGAAATTCATGTTAAGCAGCTGGAAGATAAAAGTTCTTTAAACAAACATATGAAAATTCATACTGGAAATAAACCTTATGTGTGTGAAATTTGTTTGAAGCCATTTTCTGATGCATTTAATTTGAAAAGACATTTGAGAGTGCACACAGGTGAAAAACCTTTTAAATGTGAAATTTGTTATAAAGGGTTTGGTATGGCACATCATTTGAAACAACATATAAGAACACACACTGGAGAAAAATGTTATGAGTGTCAAACTTGTTTTAAGCAGTTTACTACAGCATATTATTTGAAACAACACATAAAAACCCACACTGGAGAAAAACTTTACAAGTGTGAAATTTGTTATAAACACTTTGGTCTAGCACATCATTTGAAACAACATGTAACAACACACTCTGAAGAAAAACCTCACCAGTGTGAAATTTGTCTTAGGCAGTTTACTGTAGCTCGTTATTTGAAACAACATATAAAAACCCACACTGGAGAAAAAATTTACAAGTGTGAAATTTGCTTTAAGCAATATACTGCAGCAACTAGTTTGAAACAACATATGAGATCACATACTGGAGAAAAACCCTACAAGTGTGACATTTGTTTGAATCAGTTTGCTCATGCAGGTGGCTTGAAATACCATATGAGCTCACATAGTGGAGAAAAACCTTACAAGTGCCAAATTTGTTATAAGGAGTTTGTTTTACCACATGATTTGAAAGAACATATGAGAACACACACTGGAGAAAAACCTTACAAGTGTGAAATTTGTTTGAATCAGTTTTCTCACACTAGTGCTTTGACACGACATATGCGATTGCACACTGGAGAAAAACCTTACAAGTGTGAAATTTGTTTGAAGCAGTGGATTGATGGAAGCAGTTTGCAAAAACACTTAAGAATGCACACTGGAGAAAAACCTTACAAGTGTGCAATTTGTTTGAATCAGTTTTCACAGGGAGGTGCTTTAAAACGACATATGAGATTGCACACTGGAGAAAAGTCTTACAAGTGAAAAATCTGTTTTAAACAGTTCACTATAACTACTTGTTTGATACAACATATGAAATCACACACTGGAGAAGAACTTTTTAAGTGTGAAATTTGTTTGAAGAAGTTGATTGATGTAAGCAGTTTGAAAAATCACTTAAAATAAATGATGTGATGTAAATTCAGGAGTGTCAACAGAAGTGAATACATCTTATAGCGCATTATTACTACATTTGGGCTAATGAAATTCTATGCCTGCTTACTACTGAATAGTTAATACTTTTTATAATAACATTTATAAACTTTAAAAATCAAAAAAATCTTATTTTTTCTTAAAAGTTTTTTTAATTATTTTATTAGTTTTCAAAATTTGTTAATATAATATAGAAATTATGCATCATTTATATTTTCATCATTATCTTGTATTTATGTTTAATTTCTTCATTTTGATTATCATTATATTTCATTATAATGAATATACTGTAGACTAGCATAGAGCTTAACACTATGTTTGCTGTATTTTTTATATTTAAATAATATATTTCAAATCAAATAAAGTCATTTTATTATTTATTTACTAATTTTATTACTTAAGGCAGGAGATAGAATGATTTGGATTTGTCTAGTTTTGGTTTTGTGTAACTTAATTAATGTATATAACATTCATTGACATGTTAGATAGCCAACAACATTTTTGAAGAAATGCCCCTGAAGATGCTCTGAGACTGAAAGTACTTGGGCAAGATTTAATGAAAAACTGTGCTTGATATCTGCCATTTATTTGATTAAAATTCATATACAGTCCTCTCTCTCTATAATGATATGCAAGGGATAGACAGAGAGAGACAAAATTCGGTATTGTAATATTTATAATACTGTACTAAATAACCTATTTTAATTTGAAAAAATTATCAAAACGAATATAAATGAATTAACACTGTATTGTACAGGGAAGTTCCTTAATTTCGGGAATACAAAAAAAGTTTCAAATAAAAGTTGTATTATTTTATCCGTACCGACCAACAGTGTGGTCTGCAACAGACCAAATTTTTTATACAGGGAGTGTCCAACAAAATGCATCTTCAATATTTCAAATGGGACACCCTGTATTTTTTTATAGTTTTGAGTAGCCCTGCATTTCCTGATTACAAATTTACAACATAGTGCAGCATTAGGTTTGTTCTATAATGGCGTATGGTACTACTATACTATACTAAGATAAGAAAAAATATATTTAGAAAGTCAATAAAATTAATGACTTACAACACTACATTTAAGATACAATACTATATTTAAATTACAATAGATGCTCAAAGTGCCCTCCATTGTTATCAATGCACAAGTAATATCTTAGTCTCAAATTTTCTAATACGTCAGATATTGTGTAATTATGACCATTTAAATTTTCAATTTCCTCGGGAACTTTTGCCGTGATAGTGTTAATATTTGTATGTAAATCAAAATACACTTTTTATTTTAAAAACCCACATAAAAAGCTATCACATGGTGTTAAGTCGGGACTATTTGTGACCATGTAATGGTACCCTTATTGCTGATCCTCACATTAAATTGAGTATTTAAATGTTCTTGAACGGGTACGACATTATGTGGCGGTGCTCCATCTTGTTTTGTTTATTTGGCGTATGGATAATTACAATACGATAAAAGTAGTATTTAGATAATAATTATGTTCAAATTGGAATTGTAACCTAAGTTAAATATTAAATATTAATGTCCAAATTGGACAGCCATTCAATTGCTCCAGGAGAACACTGCAAAATCTTGAAGGTCTCCGCTGTATCTGCGAATTGGGCAATCCGCCATGATGTGTTGGATGGTCTGTGTCGGGGATCCACAATCACATTGTGGGCTTTCTGCATGGCCCCATCGGTATAGAGAATCGGCACATTTGCCATGACCCGTGTGTATGCGATTTAATTTTGTCCATATGGGGCGTGGCAGGTTTGATCCAGTGAAGCCGATAGACGTACTTGTTATTTTGATGACGTCTGGCTCTGTTGTTGGCATCCATCTTTTCGTCCACTGCTTTTGCTTATTGTAGCTATCACCCATTTCCTGAACGGATTGGACAGGGGGTCGTCTTGACTTCAGTCTTTGTTGGTCTCGTGCGGCGTGCTCCATCTTGTTGCCATATCATACTATTTAATTGATTTTGTGTATAATTTCGATTTAATAACTCATCCACTTCTGTAATGACTGTCCAAATATGATTCCCCAGTTAATTTATAATTAGAAAACAATGATCCAACTATTTTGTTTTGAAATATTCCGCACCACACATTAATTGATTTTCTTCCTGACATTTTTATTTGCTTAATTTTTCTTTTTCTACTATTTTTCTGTTCCCACGAATACCTATTTCTTCTATTAAAAATGCCTGAAGTTGATGCCATTAAAGTCCAAATATCTTTCTTAGGACTTTTCTTTCGAAGACTTTAAGTTTTCTTTTTGTCTCTTCTGTCATCACCCATGTCTCGCATGCATAAAATACTATTGGTCTGATAATAGTTTTGTAGACCCTGATTTTCGATCTCCGGTGTGTGTTTTTGGAGCGGAACAAATGATCGAGTAAAAAAGAGCTTTGTTTCCCTTTACTATTTTTCTTTGTATTTCTGGTTCTTCTGTTCCATCCGTGTTTAATGCAACTCCTAAATATGTGAAACTTTCTACCGTTTCAATATCGTCCTCTAATTCAACTGTGCGTATGTGTCCCCTAGCTTTTGCCTGTGATAACTTTTTTGTCTTTTGAATATTTATTTCTAGTCCGGTCTCTTTTGCCCTTGTTTTTAATTGTGAATATATTTCTGCCGCCTCTTCAGTTCTACGAGACATGATGCTGATATCATCGGCATAGGCGGCAATCTGTATTGATTTATTTGTTAGGAGATTTCCTCTTCCTATATTCAGCTGTCTTATCACATATTCCAAGGTCACGTTGAATTGTGTCGGTGCCAGCCCGTCTCCTTGGTTTAATCCTTGGACTATTGTAAAGTTTTCAGTGAGCTCATTTTGGACTCCGACACCGACAGTTGCTATTGACGAATCCATTGTTGTTTTTACCAGTCGTATGTATTTTTGTGGAATATTAAAGCTCTGCAATATTTGATATAACTTGTTCCTGTTAATTGAGTCGTAGGCTTGTTTGAAATCTATGAATATGTTGTGGACGACGTCAATTTCGTATTCCCACGATTTGTTTAAAATTTGTTTCACTGTGAATAGTTTATCAGTTGTAGATCTTCCTTGTCGGAAACCGGTTTGATATTCCCGGACAATATTTTCAGTTAGTTGTTGGAGTAGTTTGTTTAGTATGTAAGTAAAAATTTTGTACGCCGTGCACAAGAAGGTTATGCCGCGATAATTTTCGCATTTCAGTTTATCCCCTCTTTTTATATAGACTGGGCATATAATCCCGGTTTTCCAATAATTAGGGATCTTTTCATCATTCCAAATCTTGTTCATGAGCATATGCATTTGTCCTACTAGGTGATCGCCACCTAATTTATATAGCTGAGGGAGAACGTTGTTAATACCTGGAGCCTTATTGTTCTTTTGTGCTCGTATTGCCTGTTTTACCTCTTCCATCGTTGAGGATTCTATATTTTCGGTATCTCCCTCATTGTGAATATGTCCATATGCTCTTCATTTTCTTGTGTCCCTAAAAGAGTTTGAAAATAGGTTTTCCAGACGGATCACTGGTTATTTGTCCTTCTTGATTTTTGCATAGATTTGTTCGGGGTTTGTATCCTCCTCTTAAATTGCGTAGATATCTGTACGCCTATCTGTTGTTGCTTTGAAGATTTTCTTCCATTTTCTGTATATTGTCGTTTTCGTTATTTCTTTTCTTTGTTCGGCATAATTTATTGGCCCTCCGTCTTGCATCTTGGTAACTTGCCCTTCTTTCTCTGGTTCTTCTTTCCATATATTTCTTGTGTTCTTCATTTTTTCTGTATGGCCTTATTACATTCGTCATTGAACCATTCCCTTTTTGTATTTTTCTTTTTCTTGCCTATGATTTTTCTTGCTGCGTCAATAACTTTTGATTTCTTCTCAATGTTCTTCGGTTCCTAGACCGCCTGTGTTTGTCAGTGGTGTGTTATTTCTCTCTCATAGTTCTGTTTGACGTCTTGTTTCAATTTTTGTATATCTAGCTGTTCAAGTTCTGGACTGACAGGGACTGCTAGTCCGGAATCTTGTCGTTCGCGGTAACAGAACTTGCAGTTCAGAACCAGTTCAACCGATCCTTGGGATTTGAAGAGAACTCGGAGTTCGTACATGCGCAATAGAAACACTAGAAATAGGAACATGGAACATTTTTATTATTCTAGTGATTGTCACTCTGAACTTTAAACGGTTTATTGTTTATTCGAGACATTCTGTTATTTTTCTAACAATGCTCATCTCTAAACTAGACTAAAGTGTGCTCTAATCTAAATAAAATATGGCCGCTGGCAGTGCGCAAACCAGATGCGTGAACAATTCCCGCCGAGTCTACTGCACCTTCGGGTTGTTCCGTATCAGAACTGAAAATTGTTCAAAATTCGTTCGCGGTGTAATCAATCCTGAACTGGTTATGTACCGCGCTTGCGTACAACCCGATTACTATAGGAGGATTCTAAACGCATCCTGAACGCGTCCAGGATTCGTACCGCGAACGAAACTATAATCAAACGAAGCAATGTCAATTCTGTCAAGTGTCAATCCAAATTAATGACAGATCTTCCGTTTGTTTACAAGTTTTCAATTTTATTTTATTATCTTTAATTTTCGTTTGCATTTATTCTTAGTAATTTTAATTTAAATTTGGTTACTTAATTTTTAAAGTTTATTTTGAGTTACCTATTGTAGCAAAGAATTTTTGTGTTGTGCTAGTAACAAAACTAAACATAGTGAATTATTGTATTGTTCCTTGTGTACAATTCATGGAAAAATTACAAAAAGAATGATAGTAAGTTGTCAGAAAGCCAAAAATAATAGTATTTAACTTCTGCAAATATGTGTAATAAATATTATGTAATTATTTTATAACTGTTTTATCTTAAACAACAAATAAATATACGTATATCTAGAAAAAATTGTGCATCTTATATCCTTATATTCCAATAAATTTTAATTAGTAACGAAATAGCAAATAGCCCACAAGTGGCGCTAAAGGGTATGTATGTAAGGGGTGTTTATTCGAATTTGCCGCCAAAAGATGATTAGTA